GGACCCCCAACATCGTCACGGTGACCCCGCCTGGCACGCCGCCCGCGCGCAGGAGGAACAAGCTGAAGCCCCCCGGAACCCCGCCGCCCTCCTCCCGCAAGCTGATCCACCTGATCCCAGGCTTCACCGCGCTGCACCGCAGCAAGTCCCACGAGTTCCAGCTGGGCCAGCGCCCGGACGAGGCCCACACCCCCAAGTGAGTGCGGGGGACCCCACGCCCCCAAGTGAGTGCAGGGCCCTACGCACCCACCCGAGTGAGTGCCCGGGGACCCCATGCCCCCCAGTGAGTGCCGGGGTAATTGTCTGGGGACCCCCACACCCTCAAAAGAGTGCCAGGGGGTGTTGTTTCCAGACCTGTACACCCTCAAGTGAATGCTTGCGGACCTCCACAGCCCCCAGTGAGGTAAAAGCGTGGAGCTAAGCACTGATGGGGAGATGTTCTAATCACGGCGCAGACATCAGCCCACCCTGACTTGGTCTCTGCTGTTCTCAGATCTGCTAGGAAGTAGCCTTGGGGTTAAGACCTGAGTCTTAGCGTTCTTGCTGCGGGTCTGGGTGGTTGGAGTATATTTCCATCTTTAAATTGGAGGTTATGACCCATTAGTGGGGTGATGGGACATTTGAATACACGGTGACCAGCATTCCAAAAGGGAAATAGAACTTTGAGTGGAATATATTAGAATGTATGGCAGGTGTTGGCAGTGTTGTTTTATGAAGCTTGTTCATATATGTGTGTGTATCCATGCATTTATACAGATATTTATACATTCTATACATTATGCACACTTGTTTTTTTGCTGTGGGAATTCTCTAGATAACTTTGATTCTAGAATGAACCCCATTAGGGAGTGGGTGAGAAGGTTGAGAGGCCAAACCTTTGTCTGGTGGAAGGCAGCCACAGAGTTCTAGAACATTTGGGTTGCTGCTTTCTCTCTCAGGTTGGGTAACTTCGCAGACTTAGCAGTATGTGTGCTGCTAACTGGCCACCTTCCATCCACCCTTATTTCTTCCTAAGTGGAGGTTCAAGAGTGCCTCTGAACAGCATCTTTCAGAGCTGTTTGCTCCTGGCATCTTTGGAACACAAGGCACCCTGGGAGGTCTTGGGTTGATGGAAGTCTGCTTCAGTAAGATCTTCTATCCTTGGCCTTTTCAGACACACATGAGTGTATTTATCAGATGGTCTCTCTCCCTCTCTCCCCCCATCTCCTTGCTCTTCTCTCCTTCCCCCTTCCCTCCCCCTCCCTTCTCTCTTTTTCAAGTCCCTGGTAGCCTCTGTTGGGCCTCTTCAGGAAGAGCATCACCAGAAAGTAAGACATTATTAGCAAGGGCTCAGCTGGGCACCTGGTAGTCAAGTAATGTTGCCAAGATTGGTCTTAACCAAATCCACATTTCTGTACAATGCTCCTGAAAGATCTGTTGTCTTCTTTCCCTTTCCCTTTCCTTTTCTCTCTATTTTTTTTCACTTTACAAGTGTGTGGCTTTATTCCTCTGGCATCATTATGAAAAGTGTACACACACACAAGTGGAGAAAGGCTCTTTCACTTTCTTAGCGAGTAATTCTCAACAAAGATGCAAGTTTAAACCACTCAGGGGGCTATTATCAACACAGTGGGAAGTATATATTGCTTCTCACATTTCCTTTTTTTCTTTTTTTCTGGTACTGGGGTTAAACTCAGGGCCTCATGCTCTTGCTTTGCTTTTTTTTTTTTTTTTTTTTTTTTTGCTCAAGATTGACCCTCTACCACTGAACCACACCTCCACTTCTGGGATTGTTTTTCCCCCCTGATGTCCAGCCATGAATTCTCAGTCTTCTGAGTAGCTAGGGTTACCAGCTACCAGTGCTTGCCTGGTTTTTGCATTTTCTCTGTACACTTTCAGTACAGCCCAGTAGTGTGGAAGTCCTTCTTGAGAGGACAAAAATTGATTCTTGGATAAGAGGTAAACACTTTTATACTCATTAGTGGACCCCCAAAGAGTCATAGTACATAAACAGATATCCAGTGTATTTGTAACACTACATTTAAAAAACATCTATTTTATTTTTGCATATAAATTATGGTCTTGATTTTATGTATATATGGTGCCCAGTGTGATAATTTGATATATCTATGTAATGTATTCTTCAGTGTATGCCATCTTCTTAAACATTAACATTGTATTTTACTCAAAAGACTGAGATCTGAGAATCTAGGTTTGAAGCCAGTTGGGGCAGGGAAGTCTTATCTCCAATTAATCACCAAAAGCCAGAAATAGAGCGGTGGCTCAAGTGATAGAATGTTAACCTTGAGCACAAAGTTAAAGGATAGCCCTCAGACTCTGAGTTCCAACCCCAGGAGCACGTGCACGCACGCACACACACATTGTTTTTAGTTCACATTTTCAAAGTAGCATACAAAAAAAAAATCAAACTAGATGCCTATCATTGGATGAGTAGATAAAGAAAAGGTGGCATATATAACCAATAGAATATTATTTGGCCACAAAAAAGAATGGTCCATCATTTGCAGGAAAATGTGGTATTAAAATTGAAAAAGGAAAGAGGTGGAGAAGTTGACATAGATCTGTGGGTGGAAATCTCTCCAACATTTCTAGCCAGCCTTCTTTGCTGTTACTGTGGCTTCATGGCACACTGCTGAGTAAGCACCACCAGTTCCCTACGGTCCAGAGAGTGAGGGCGGGGAGAGGAAGGAGGGGAGAGGAGGGGAGAGGTCTAGTCAGCTTGACTTTCACACCCAGGGCCATTGTCAGGAAAGAAACCCTAAATATTCTTAGGTGTGTAACGATTTGCACACTGTTCTATTTGACTTTCTTCTATTTGTCAGCTGTGATACCAATGACCTGCTCCCCTCCTTTTTTTTTTTTTTTTTTTGCCATGGGTTGTGAAGAGGTAACAAATTGTTTTTAATGCATTAAAAAAGCTCAGTATTAAAAAAGGATTCTTGTAAATATTTCATTTCCATACCCTTTTTTTAAGAGGTAATTTTCAGCTACACATTTTAAATAGAGAAATAACTCCTAGTACATCATTATTTGGCAAATACAAGTCGTATAAAATGTAAGCAATAAAAGGAGAATTTCCCCCTTCCCTTGCTGTAGTGAGCTACTCTAATTACTCTTCTATTAATATGCCCATATGAATCCCTGATTGCATCTAATCAGGTCTTTATGTGCATGCATGAGATACTTAGTTTTCTTTTACTCTCTTTCCTCTTTATTGGTTGTACTGAGGCTTGAATTCAGGGGTAGGGGCTCACATTTTTTAGGTAATTGCAGTACCATCTTTTTTTTTTTCTTTTAAGATAAGGTCTCATGATTTGCATAGACTAGCCTAGGCCTAGATCCTCCTATTAATGCTTTCTATATAGCTGAGATTACAGGCAAGCACTACCACCCCTGGCTTATTGATCAAGAAGAAATCTTGTTTTTGAACCTCACTCTCTTTACCCCATCAAATTCAGATTTGTGTTCACGGCGTGGGCTGTACCATGTGTAGTTGGGACTGGAACAGCTGTCTGGAAAAGTCTCAGTCAATCATCAACCAATCTAACATCAATCAAACAATCAAAATTGGCCTGCTCAATGAATCTGATTCCCATCCTTTCCCCAGAGTCCTTAATTCTGTGGACTAGCGCTTAGGGTGAGGTTTAAGATGACTGCGAGTAGAAAAAGCTGGGAGCAGATAATCCTTAGCTAGCAGCATTTCAGGGTGGTTTCAGTTTGTGGGGTGTAGCTGAATATGAATGGGTGTGACTGAGAGCCCTCCTGTGCTGGAGACTGGAGATGAAGGCTTTCCCAAGGGGCTCCATTGGGCTGGTAGATTTATGCCTTCTTTTTTTTTCTGTCCTTCCTGGTAATGGGGTTGGGCATGTGCTCCTCTGCTTTCTCTCAGAGCTGCCACAGGCAGGCGCCAGGCTTCCAGGAGGGGTTGTCACTCATTTGCCAAATTAAATATCCCAAATGTACCCACTCGGGAGGGTGGTACCATTGTTGTCAGGGGAAGAGACAGGAGAAGGCCCTGCTCCATTTCTGGATAATTGATCTATCTGATAGGATTTGAGATGAACCTTTTAGGATGATAAATGGAAGATGTAAAAAAAAGTTCCTTCCAGGGCCAACTTCCGCACTAAGCTGGAGCCACACAGGGCAGCTGCCTGGCTCTGAGATCTCAGATCATGGTGGCCAGGGGACAGGGCATCACCTCAAGCCAGGCAGGATAGTTCTTTTGGACAAACTGAGAGCCCTAGAAATTTGCCAAGCAGGGAGCGTGATAGAGAAGCCATTAAAAGTGAAGTCTGTGGCCCTAGAGGGAAATAGGGCTCTACCTGGCGCTGTGCACACTGCCTTCCAGGAAAGGCTTTGGGAGTAGAGACTGGTTCGTGTGTCCACGCATCACACAGTGTGTCCCAGCAGGGCCGCTGTGGAGGGCAATGCTTTTCAGCACTTCCAGGGGAGCAGAGGAGAAATAAGCAGAACAAAACAGTAATGTGATGGGCAGCATAACACAGGGCCTGGGTGACCCTGGAAACAACTGCAGGATGTGGGGCCTGCTTAGCCTTGAGGATCCTGGACCCCAGCTTTTAAGTGCAACACTGCCCTGCACTGTGGTTGGTCTGACCTGGGAATGGTGCCTCAGAAGGTATTTGGGGGGTCATCTGTTTATGGGATGTGTGATTGAGTGGGCCCTTTCATCTCTGTTCATTCCTGAGAGAGGCACGCCTGGTGTCCATACATTCACATATTTGCTTGTTATATCACATAGCCAACTTAGGTTTTTGGTGCCTGTAAGATGTCCAAGGTCTGTGTAAGAGTCCTGGGGCATGGAGTTTCAAACAGATACTACAACAAGTAAACAAAACCTTCAGTCTTTTTCTGAAGGAACTTGGGGTCTAGAAGAGACAGATTGGAAATCCCAGGTATCATTCAGCTTAAAGGAAGAAAGGCTGGCACTGAGGTAGCCCAGGTGAAGAGACCTAAGACATGTTGGGAGGCCAGGAACAGCTTCCTGAAGGAAGCGTTGTATGAGATGTGCTGAGTAAAATCAAGGGACAAAGGGTCAATGCATCTGCCTCGTGGCCAGTACAGCCACATCGTCTCTGTTGCTTTTTCTCCACTTGGCTGCTGCAAGCAAAACCAGCCATACTAGCATGCAAAGGAGCGTCCACGGTTGTGTTCTAGTAAAACTTTATTTACACACAC